ATATATATATATATATATATATATATATATATATATATATATAAAATATACTTGAAAAAATTTTGAAAATTTTTTTTTTAAATTCTTTTTTCTAAAAAATTTTGTTTTTTAGAATTCTTAAAAAGTTTTTTTTAATATCAATATTCACTAAATATACATGTAAAAAGAGACTACCTCATTAGGTTTGATGATTTTCTTTTGAAAGTATGTATAGAAAAAAAAAATTAACTTTACAATAAGATTGAATGTTATAAATTTGTTAAAATTAAATAACATTTGGTTGATCTGGAATAAGTGAAGCAAAAAATGTACTGAAAAATGTCCATGTAAAAGCAAGTGCACCAGGTCTTTCTTCTTCATGTTCTTCATTTGCATTTGTTCTTGCTTCTGCTTGTACAGTTGGTACTTGACCATTTTGTTGCTGTGGTACAGGTTCAGGACCTATTGCTTCATTCTGTAACATTTGATTATTATTATCTACCCGATCTCCTCTACCATTATTATTTTCAGGTAAAAGAATAGGTTGAACTCGAAAGAAACCACCCTGAAATCTGAAAAACATTCATTCAATTGTGTTATATTTGTATATAAAATTCAAAAGTATTATAGATATGAACTTACAGATACATTGCAAAGCCAAGAAATGTAACAATAAGAAATCTTAGAGGGGATGAATAAAAATATACCATACTAAAAAAACAATAATTCTGGATAGCATATAAAAAACATCTAGCCAATCTCTATTAAATGCACCATCTTCTCCAGCACCATTATTTCCTGCATTAACATCAATTTCTTGAACAGCAGGTTGTTGTTGTTCATCACCTACATTATTATTATTGTTGTTGTTGTTGTTGTTATTACTACTATTAATATTTGTGTTATTTGTATATGAATTTTGAACACCATCATTTGTATTGATATTCATTTGCTGAACATATGGAATGCTAGTCTGTAATTGTATTCCTTGTGCTGCTATTCTATAAGAAAAAACTTTCTTCTATTATAATTATTTAAAATTTTTCTTGAAATTAAAAAAAAATTGTAAAAATATCACTTACAATTGCATATATTGTGTAAAATAATGTGTATATGCTTGTTGCATCCAAGCCATTTGTTGACTATTTCGTGGATCAAAATATTGTTGTGTAGAATATAATTGTGCTGGAGTATGTTGCATAGCAATATTATTAATATGTTGACTTTGATTTTGAATACTATTTGTATTATTTAATCTGTTATGTTCTACTGTACTTCTTGCACTAGAAATATTTGTGTTTTCTATAACTTGATCAGTTATTTTATTTATAGATATTTTTTGCGAAGCACAGACTAAATGAACTATATAAGCTTGATCTTCTTGTCCATTACAATGCCTTAATACATCTTTCAAACACATAGAATCATTTAATAATTGTCCTGAATATATGAGTTTCTGGGTTGCTCGTTCCTAAGCAAAATAATTTAATAAAATATAAGTGTTTATTATAATATTGATTATCTAAAATATAATATTTTCATTTATTTAATGCAAAGAAAAAAATTACTAGAAAAAAGAAAAATTTATAATTAAATTATAAACTGAATATATTCTTTTTATGATAATAATATTTTTAAAAAATATTATAATAAAAAAAGTTTATAATTTTTTCTTTTATATATAATGGTGCTAATAATATGTTGCTTTTAAAAATTAAAAAATTAACTTTCACAAAATTTCACATAACTGAATCACTAGTAAATGAAATAAAACTCACTGGTTTACTAGGATAACATCGGTTAAATGATCTTTTAATTGGCCAACAGTCCATCCAATGTCACAATTTACGATTTGATCTTTAATCTGCTGATTCGGTGCTTTTATTATTAATCTGACAACAATTCCTTCCATTATTTGTAATGTCCGTTTTTATGTTTTTTATAATCAGCTGTTCTTATTGTCAATTACTTAGATGGGATTAATTAACAATGCTACCGAGGCAGATTAATATATTTGCGTTTGTGAGATTTTATACACTTGCATGTATATGCAATATAATATTGTCTTCTTTGTCAAACTAATTTGTTGATTTACATAAAACTTTCTTGAGAGATAAGAATTACAATAGATTCATAGCTAATATAACATAACTTCATAATGCGAACGGATATTTAATCGTAGATATATTTTTATGAGTCACTAAATGAAATCACTTATGTGACGATTTATCATTCGTAGATTACAATTATTTATTCTTTGATAAGAGCTGATCTTCAAGTTACATTTTCTTCGTATTTTATGGCGATATCATAATGCTTGAATCCATGAATGTTACTAACAGTCATGAAAACTGTATCGTAATAATTACAATTTGGCGCCAATGGAGTTGGCAATCGTTATTAGAAAGTCAGCACCTTCGAAATTTTTGAGTTTAAATTTGAATTGAATAAAGTTTAAATGTAATGAAATGTGAGCAATATTTCACTTGTTTCATTAACTGTTTTTCTTATTAAATCACGTTATTGTTTATTCTTCATTAAAAATTGATATTGTAAACATTAAATATTGAAAAATAACAGTAATATAAATTAAGCTTATTATTATGTTAACTATTTATTAACCTTAATATTTATTTCAATTTTTTAATTATTTATCAATATTATTTGTAATTAAAATTTCATTTAATTACAAATTGAGTTTAAAATCTTTCAATCTTTCAATCTTTGTATGAAGTATTGATATATAATTTATAATTTGTAATGTAATATGATTGTAATATCTTTTTTAAAATATTTTTTTAATAATCATATATTTTTATTATCTTGCAGGATTCCTTCAAAATCTGGAAATAATTCTAGGCGATCTTCTGTAAGTAGATAATTGAAAAATTTTAATATTTGTATAATATACAAATAATATTAATATTTGATAATTTTATAATATTTTTTTGTTATGTACTACTATTGCTTTTAATGCTTTCTGTCATGCCATGTATTTTGCATTAAAGTTATATGAGTTTATTATGCTCTTTAATTTAATATGCTGAAATAATAATATTTGTTCTTTTAAACCTTTATATATGTATAATCATTGTTATTTTTATAATATACTTAGATACTTAAGCCTCCCAAACCACGTCATCCTCTACAGAACTTAAATTTTAATAGTTCATCCAATGAAAATAGTCCTGCTACTACAACAAAAATCAAAAGACGTGTTAGTTTTGCAGAAAAAAAACATGTCAAGTAAGTTACTTGCTCCTCATATGCAGTTTATTTTTAATGAACTTTCATAATTTTATTTATTTCATTAATACATAGTATGAAATTCATTGTGCAGAGAATTTTGCAATTCTTTGGAGCAAGGAACAGTATGGGATAATACATATGAAGAACATGATATAAGTGATGTTAAAATATCATGTTCTTTCAATCAAGAAAAATATGAATCTAAAAATATACATAAAGAAAATATTTTTAATAATATTCATGAAAATGATATGCAATTTGTTTGCAATGAAACAATAATAAAAGATGTAAATATTGAGAAATCTAATTCATGTATTATAAATACAGTTGAAAAAGAAAATTGTCAAGATGAAATGTTATTAAATGAATCATTAATTATTTCTCATAATGTGGATACTGAAAAAAATGAATCTATTTTCTCTCGTGATTCACAATTAAATAATAACCATATATCAAAAAGTATTATTGTGTATGAAGATTCTGATAAAAAACTAATTGAAAAATCAAATCAGATATCAGATTACTTAGAATCAAATATATGTAATTTTGATGATAATAAATTAAATATCACATCCGATCAAAATGTATGTATGGATTTAACTGAAGTTGTCAGCCCTGTTGTAAATTCTATTAATCGTGATAAAACAAAAAAAATGTTTAAAAATGCATCAATAGAATTAATAAATGATATTTTACCAACAATAAGTAAAGAAAACTTTGAACAATTTAATAAATCAAATGTAACAGAATCTAGTATAACAAATCAAGATAAATCAATGGAAATTACTATGCCCCAACCATCTGTTATTAAACTTAATAAAAATATTGATAATGTAGACATAAATACATTCTGTGTAGATAACAAAACTAAAAGACTTGATATTTCAATGGAAATAACTTCAGCAATACCAACTTCTTTATGTAATCTACCAAATAATAATGATATAAATTATGATGTTTCTAATTTAATATCATATAATAATGATAATAAGACAATTCCTTTTCATGATATATCAATGAGTATTACTAAAGCTGTAGAAACAATTGTTCATAAATCATCTGACAGCTCACCTGTGGTACAAAAAATGTCACAATATAATATTACAAAACAAGATGAAGAAACCAAATTATTAAATACATCTATGGAAATTACTAAAGTAGTTCCAATTAATGTACATTCTGTAATAAAAAATTATGGACAAAATGCAATTAAATTTGATACAAAAAATAATGTTAAAAAGTTAAGATATAATTCAGATATTTATGAAACCTTAACAAATTGTGATAGAACAAAATTTTATAATAATGAAGAAATGGAATTTACCACAGCAATAACATCTTTACCTGCAATATGCCAGAATAATCTACAGTTATGTATGCAAGATATTTCTTGTGCGCAATTAAATTCTTCAAATTCAATATCTGATAATTCTAGAAATCATTCATTGACAAACAAAACTATTATTTTTGATAACAATTCAATGACAGTTACTAAAATAGTACCAGTACTTGATAGAAAACACGAAGATATTATAATAAGACATTCTCAAGCTAAAATAGATGAAATTGATACATGTTCTTCTAAAATTAGACAAACAATATTATCTGATAGTTTAAAAAAAAAAGATATTACAGATGTCTCAAGCAACAAAGATAATCTGTTAAAAAATATTACTACTATTACAGCAATCCCTTCTTTACCAAACTCGAATATAATTTCAAATAATAATGGAGAAATGGAATTTACCACAGCTATAACATCTACAATACATCAAAATAATTTACAAATACAAAATATTTCTTGCACACAATCAAATTTTTCGAATTCAATATCTGACAATTGTAAAAATCATTTATTATCAAACAAAACCATTATTTTTGATGATAATTCGATGACAGTTACTAAAATAGTACCAACACTTGATAGAAAGAATCAAGATATTACAAGATTCTCTCAAACTGAAACAGATTTTGATATATGTTCTAGTAAATTTAGGCAATCAATACCTGATAATTTTGAAAAAAAAAATCTTATTGATGTTTCAAACAACAAAGATAATGTGTTAAAAAGATAATACTACTATAATAAAAATTCCTTCTTTATTAAACTCAGATGATAAAATAATTTCAAATGATAATGAGAAAATGAAATTTACCAAATCTATAAGTACAATAGATCAAAATAATTTACAGATACCTCAAAATATTTTCTGCACACAATCAAATTCTGCAAATCCAATATCTGATAATTGTAAAAATCATTTATTGTTAAATAAAACTATTATTTTTGATGATAATTCAATGATAGTTACTAAAATAATACCAATACTTGATAGAAAATATCAAGATACATTTTTCCAAGCTGAAACAGATAATTTTAATACATGTTCTATTAAAGATAGACAATCAATATTATCTTCTAATATAGAAAAAAGAGATCTTACAAATATCTTAAGCAAAAATAATGTAAATGATAGTATTGCAACAATCCCTTCTTCATCAAGCTCAGATATAATTTCAAATAATAATGAAAAAATGGATTTTACTACAGCTATAATATCTTCATCTGCATTACATCAGAATAATTTACAGATACCAATACAGAACATTTCTTGCACACAACCAAATTTGTCAAAAACTAACAAAACTATTGTTTTTAATGATAATTCGATGATAATTACTAAAGTAGTACCAATAAATGATAAAAAGCAACAAGATATTATGATAACAGATTCCCATACTGAAACAAATTCTGATATATGTTCTGGTAAAATTAGACAGTCTATATTACATAATAGTATAGAAAAAAGTAATTTTACAAATTTCTCAGTCAATATAGATAGTGATGTCTTAAAAAATAATTCTATTGAATCTACTAAACATGTAAACTCTTGTTTATTAAACACGAATATAGAAAACAATGCTATACAAAGTTCTACTCCAATTAAAATTCAAGATTTTGTAAATATTAAACCTAGCATGTCTTCGCATGAATCAATGCAGCAACAAACTTTTGCTTCAGCTTTAAAAAAAATAACACAGAAATAATTTGTGCTATATCTAATTGTGTATCAAATAAATCTTTCTCTCCTACAAACTTAGAATTAAATAAAAATGAACACACAATACTTAAATACACACAAACAGTTATATCACATCCAAGAAGAACATATACAATTCAATCATCAAATAGTAATCATATTTTTACAATAAATAATAAAAAAGAAAATAACATTTCAGAAATTAACCATGATGTTTCTTATGAATTAAATAATGAAGAAAATAATGAATGTAGCATCTTAAATAATACAAAAGATTTAGAAAATAAAGAAGATTGTGATATAAAATATTTAATGAATGGAAAAGATATATTTTTGAATGAAAGTTTGGAAGTATTAGAATCAATTAAACCACCTTCATTTGATTGCTTAGATGACTTGTCACATATAGATCATTCTATGAACATTATTTGTAATAAGAAAATTGATATAGAAACAAATCTTTCACAAAATGAAAACAGTGAATCTGAAAACATTTTAAAATTTAAAGATTATCAGAAAAATGTACAAATAGAAAATCAACATAAATCACAAATATTTGTAATTAAACGTGCATTTTTAAGTGATGCATTAAAAAATTCAAATGAAGATAAAATACAAACTAATGAAATTTCAAAATTAGAATTGTTAACACAGAATACTAATATTGATACTAATATTGATACTAATATTGATATTGATACTGATAGTCAAATTTTAGAATTTTCGTCTTCAACCATAAACAATAGTGAAAATTTCTCTTTAATACATAATACTGACAAAGATTTTCAGAAATTACATATGGACAATTCTAATTTAGAATGTCTTTTATCAAATGCAAAAGCTACTTATAAAACTTCAAAAGCTAATGATAGTAATAAAGTAAATGATACACATATGATGGAAGTAAATAATAAATTTTATTCAAATGAAAAATTTCAATCAAATTTGAAATCTCATACTATAGAAGATTTTTCTATAGAAGAAGAAAATGTTATAATCAAATCTTTTTCTTCCTTAATAAATGAATTAAAAATTTGTGCAAAAAGGTATTGAGATAGATTAATATTTTCTATAATTTCATCATTGATATTGTATCAAATAATGTTTGCAATTTTTTTAGTAACGAAATTATTTGGGAAGTATATTATGAAAATATCGAAAGAAACATGTTTATAATTGGTTTTATATCGTGTTCATTATTAGTAATAATATTTATACAGAATCCTTGTAAGGAGACAAATGATCAATATATTAAAAAAATTAAAATAATTTCTCAATTAGCAGGTAAGTTTAGAAACGCAATTAATAAAAAAAATATTAATTTATATTTAATAAAATTTTTTTAAAAATATTATTTTTTTATTAGATGATGCAGATACATTAATTACTATAGTTCATCGAATAATTTTAGAAAAATTAGATATTAAAAAATTATTGGATTTGTATAAAAATCGTGAAGATATTTTACCGATGTTAGAATACATTTCAAAAGAAGTAAAATTAGCTATGGATTTTATGTTTGATTTGAAACGTTTGAATGATCCAAATTTGATGGAAATAACTCATGATAGGTAAAAACGATTAAAATTACAATATTTTGATATAATATATACATTTTTTTTTATTTTAGCATATCTTTCATATCGCAAACTAAAACAGGGAATATTATATTGAAAATTACAATAAATATCAAGCCATTTGATAGGATAGAATTTCAAAATATTTCTGTTCATTGTTTAATAGGTTCCGTGAGGTTAGTTGCGAAAGTATTTAATAGACAATAGATTGTTTTATTGTAATTTAATTATTTTTCAGAGAAGAAGATGTTAAAAAATTAATAATAAATGTAAAAAGGGATCATAAGTTCTTGCGAAGGTATATAAATGATGTGAAAGACTATATATATTTGATGGAAAAATCTGGTAATATGACTTAAATATCATATTAGCGTATCTTATAATACAATAATTAAATAATGATGTTTAATAATTCTGAATCACGCTAATTGTACTATATTATAATTTAATAATTTTATATATAATCATGATATAAATACATAATTTATATTTTTTTTAATAATATATATTTAAAAAAATATTTTTTGTATCTACACATAAATGTATACATGAAAACGAAAATGTAAAGTTACAAGCAAAGGTTGATCAACTAGTTCTTCGATGCAGCCGGTTCAGTCAATGCAGTTTTTTATATAAGTATTTACAGTCCTTTCGATAGTATCGTGTGAACAGCCGGCTTTCATAGAATTGCATTACTTTTCGCTTTATTCTTTGTTGGTAATTATAGCAATGATACATATATTTTTTAAATTAAATAATTTTAAAACTTATAACTTAAGATCTAGTTAAAACTAAGATTTCTGAGCATTTAATTAATTCTAATTTTTTAATTCAATGTAAATTTTATCTCAAATATAAAGAATTATTATATAAATATTATTTTTACAAGAATTGTTATCTTCAAAAATATATTTATTAACATTAAAAAAACATTAATTTTCATACATATTATTCAATTTTAGATCGTGCTTAATATTTTATAAAAATTTCGTTAAAGAAATCACATTTTCTTTCATCAATAACTTACATTAATCCTATTTATGTAGGCGTAAAGATTCGATTTTACATGATTTCGTAACAGTAATGATTGATTTTCAATATCAAAAAATATTTCATGAAGATTTCGTTTTCAATGTTTTGTTTTCACCTCATCTATTTTCCATCTTACAAAATATTTTGTATAAATGAAGTTTAAATATATGAACATCACTTCCGAAATTACTAATAATTATGCTAAATATGCTAATTATGCTAAATCAAATGTTAAATCAATTATTAAATAAAGAAAATCTAGATTTGATAATTAGTAATAATATACTGGTAATTTTTTTCTTGATAGAATTATTTTTATAAAATATAATCTAACATTAAATATTCAAAAATTTTTTCTTTTAAATTTTTTGATTTATTCCTTTGAATAATAATTCCTTTGAATTACTTTACTCTATTCTTCTATTTATTTATAGATATATATTTTACAATCAAAATATTAAATATAAATTTTAAATCGCAAATAATTTCGAGTGTGTTGGATTTGAAAATATCGCAACTTACTGTTAAATTAAGCTACAAGTGAATCTTGACTATTATAATCCAAATATTTCGATCAGACAAGAAAAACAAGGTTGACGAGTAACGTCAACGGATAACCTGCAACGGTGACGTTGGTCCGACGATACCTGTTCAAGATTATGAGAACGAGGCGGATAGTTACGGGAGCAACAGCAGCAGCGGTTCAAGTGGGCGTAAGGGCTGGGAGAGAGAACGTCGTCCTGTGTTCCATACATGGCTATGCTATGTGGAAACCGAGAGACACAGAGAGACGGACGTACCGGCAGAGTCCCCACCGTGTGGACACGGCGGAGGCGACGTTTTCTCGACACGAGTGCCCACCGCATGCTTCATGCACAGTATGTGCTAGCACGACGTCGTCGTATGATCGTTCTTCTTTTGTGTTTTACGACATTACAATCGATTTGAAATCTAACATTTTTAACAGATAGAGATAGTGTAATTTAATTTAAAAAGACAATAACACGGAAAGTTTTGAATAGGTTCAATTAGAAAATGCACCTGCGAATATATCATTGGTATGGATATTATCGTTCTTTTTATCTATTTTAAATAAAAAAAAAGTGATAAATAGCGTGATCCGGAGCTCATAATTTCGAAGTTTAAGCAGGTCCGCGCCTATGGCCGAGTGACAGTTCTCTCGGTTTGGCGAGCGTGCGATTGGTCCGCTTGTGCTTACTCTTGTTACGTGTGTTGCCTGCGTGCAACAGGCAACGTGGGTTGGATGCGTGAGTGCGCCTGCGTAAGGACTACAACGTATCAGCCGCGTGTGCGTGTGCCGCGCGTGAAGAGAAGCCGCAGGGGCCGCAAAACCCGGATAAAAGGGATACACATTGGTATAGGTATGTGTATATATGTATATACAAATCCTCTGATAATGAATTTCGGAAAAAAGATATAATCTTAGTATCTCTAATCCTTTAGTATTCCTATTCTGATGCAATAATATTTTTTTATACTTTCATTAATCCATAATGTATTTTTTAAAAATCTTCATTTACTCATTATTAAATTAAATTAAATTGTAAATCATAAAGATTTAGATATTAAGAAAAAATGAGTTTAAATAATTAATTAAAAAACTATATCTCTATAATTAAACTTTTAATATCTCTTTAATATTTTGAATCTTTGGAAGATGCTTAATAAATACTTTATTGTATATAATATGTATTGTTTTTTGTATCGTAAAATATTAAATTTGATTTTTGACTTATTGTTAAATAAGGTATAAATTTGATCTTTTTTTGAAAAAATATTTCAAAATTAAATTTTTTTTCAAATTAAGATACTCCTTATATATTCTTTAAAAATTTGCTAATGAAAGTTGTAATACAATCGAATTTATAAAGTTCTTTACGATATTCGTCCCCATATCTGTCTCCTGTTTTTCGATGATCGTTTTTAGCATCCCACGAAGACGAAAACCAGTTTCACGTCCGGACACGAACATTGGCGAATCGAAGAAAGAACGAATCGCTCAATCGATGATCATGCTTCTTTCAACGATGTTTCTCCCGAAAAGGTCACTGTCTTTGAACATCGTACAGAGATATTTATGTCCATCATTTATGTCCATTTTGGATTGTTTTCTTTTTAATTTATCTTAAATTTCAACTTTTTTTAATTTCTTAACGATTAGTAGTTATGAATTATTTTAATCGTAGAAAAAACTCGTTAAAAATACTATAGCTTTGTCTCTTAGTGCACCTAAGTGTCTGTTTCATATTTTATTTGACGAGTTTCAATCATTTCCATAATCTTTCTTTCTCAATGAAGAATAGAAAAATTTTACCATATTGCAGATTTGTTTTAATTATTTTTTCATCTATAAGATTTTTATTTATGCAATTTTTTTACACGTTCCAATAATGCTTTTTCCTTAGCCAACATCCTAAACCTTTTCCTGGCAAGCGGTGTACGATTTTCAAATTTCTCAAATTGAGACACCATCTTCGGTGGTAAAGGTTCATATTTCAATACTTCATTCATAATTTCTGTCTCGACTAATGGTTTGAACTTCAATGTGATTCTTCGACGAAGATTTAGGATATTTTGTATAGTATTTTTAATGTATCCCAACGGAATGCCCACAGATACTTTTGCCATGCTAGAGACATCGATATTGCGATCAATTCCGTAATACTTCATCAGCTCATTTTTATAAAACATGTATAACGTATTGTAGTCCGTGAGAGGAATTATTATGAACTTGTTGTGGATCTTCATGAAGGGTGCTGTTGCTGCATATGGTTCCGTAGCGGTCGTGAGAAATAGAATCTGAAAAATACATCGTGGTTTGATGTATCGAATCGATCATTCATTCTTTCGAAAATAATCGAATTTGTTTACACGAAAGAATAGTTAATTTCAGACAAATTTTTCGTTCAAATTGCAACTATGCGTGTAACGTATATCTATATTAATTTTGTATCGTAGGATATAATTCTACGCCAATGAGTAACAGTATCGGTTCGGAATCACCGACACTCTAAATCCTACGTTAACTCGGTACCACCTACGTCCAAATCGTTCGGTAGGAGGTGTTTCATTGATGACCAGCTTCGAACGATCGAGACGTTTGGGCAAGAGAAAGAGGGAAAGTCTCTGACTGGCTTATTGAGGTGGTTCATTCATATCGGAGAAAGAGTCGAAACAGGAATATCAAGAATTTCATAAAGTGGGCGCTATCAGATCACCAACTTTAACATTCCTTACCAGTTTAGGTGAGACACTTGTATATGTAAGCTCGTTCGATTGTGAAATCGAAGTACTCTTTTTTCTGATTTTTTTCTCAAATAAAATTGGATAAAATACGAAAAATGTTATAACATTTGAACATTTATATTTCTATTAAGAAAATTTTTCATCAAGTCACCTGATCACCTTTCTTGATATTTTTCACCAATTTAGGGAAGTATCGTGCAAATCGTTTCGGTTTTAAATATTTTTCGTCTTCTGGTACTTTTTTTGCCCAAACTTTTTCACTGTTATCGATGAAAATCACAGAAGGAGCATATGCTCGAGCTATCTTTGAAATCGTGTTGATTAATTTGTGCTCGTTTTTGGATCCCATAAATTTACCCGCCAATATTTCTGGCGACAAGTCGAATAACAATGCTCCAACCTATTATAAATTTATTAATATCAGTTTTGAAATTTTTCAGACACGATTGAAGAAAAAAATATGAAAACCTCAGAACAGATAGCGTTCACCAGAAAGCTCTTTCCTTGTTGAGGAAGACCAGAGATACAAACGGATTGGATTAATGGCGCAATTTGATGAATTTCTTTTGTACTAAGAGGAAGAATGCAATATTCCATGACTAATTGTTTAACTTCACCCAATCGATGCTTGTAATTTCGAAATTCAAGAATTGCTTCATAATTTTGATATGAACGATCCCCTATCCAATCGTTAAGAGAACTGAATGGATAATCTTTAATGATATTAGCTCTGACCAATTCTCTGAAATCTTCTATAAAGTCATTAGGTGGTGGAGGTATCTTTTTGGGGGGTCTTCTTCTAGCTATTTAATAATTTCACAGAAACATTCAGTGATGTAACATAATTAATTTTAAATATATTGGTTTTTAGTAACTATAAGGAAAAATTTTTTCAAGTTATCTTCAATTTAAGATTATACATACTATAGAATAGCTATAGAAATCTACATGTTTATTTTTATATGATTATAAAAAGATTATTTATGTGATTATGTTAATGAATAATATTCGATTAATATCCTATATGTATATATGTAATATCCTATATGTAATATACTTGTAATATCCTATGTAATATTCTATATGTAATATATTTTTCTATAATGCAATTTATTATCATTAATATTATCTTTCATAATTAATTTTTTATTTAATATCATATTAAATATGATTTAAACAATTTACCTCTGTCAAAAGGTACATCAAATGGACGTAAATCAGCCGCATAGTCTTTTCTCAGTGCTGCGTTCAATTTTTGCAATTCCAATCTCATCAACTCATCTACAATCTTTCTTGTTTCTAATTGAAGGTTATAACAGAGTTCATCCGTAATTAGATCATGATATATTTTTTGTTGAAAATCATTTGAATATCGGTGACTCCAATCATAGTTATAGCTTTGATTAGCCTCATTAAGAAGGGAAAATGCCTTTGTTTCCGACATCCAATATTTTTCTTTGGCTTTTTTCCTTGGAACTTTTTCTGGTGCTTTCTTTTCCATTTCTTTAGCTTTTTTTTCCACCAAATATTCTTGAGGCGTTATAGTTTGTCCAGTAGCGATTAGCACACTGCCACCTAAATGTGCAGCTGGGTATACGTAAAAATGTCCTAGTTCGTCATACCATAAAATGAACCATTCTCGAATTTCATCCGTAATGTCTTCCATTAAACCAGGGCGTTTAATTTTTAGTAACTTAAGCAATGGAATGAAGCAATTTAATTTTTTTGAAATTATTACAATTAAAATAATAGAATTAAAATTATATATAAAAAACGTTCAAATTAAAATATTAAGATAATTTGAAAGAAGATTACTCTTGCTTGTTCTTTCTCTCTTGCTTTTGCAGTTTCATCGGCAAAAACTGACATTAAAGCTAATTTCTTTTCAAAATTTTCCTTATCTTTTTTAAAAACTTCTTGATTTCTCCAACTAGGTATCGTCATACCTAATAATTCTTCTGTACGTGCGATTCGATTTCTCAATTTCTTTCTTGCTGCGTATCTTCTCCAGGCTCGCTGTATTGTTTTAGCGGCATTAACATATGTAGCTTTATCTATTTTTTTTGGTACGATTAATCCCATCGCTACATTTTTATTATATTTTTGAACTTGTATCACTATAATATTGAAAAATTATTATTAGAAAACTATTATCAAATAATTCATTTATAGAATTTTTACCATTTTTTCCAATAGCACGAGCAACTCTTGCTCTTTCATGAGCTTGAATAAGCAACACTGCTTCTAGCATGGCTCGCTCAGCTTTTCGAGCTGCTATCTTTTCCGGTGATTCATATAAGATTGGTATTTCATCTGTCGGAGTTTTTTCTCTAAGTCTTCTTCTTCGCAATCTTATGCTTTCCTGAGACGGGGTAAGTTCATTAATATCTATTTCAGAAGGTTCTTTCTCTTCCTTCTCATCTTTCAGTGTTACTATTCAAAGTAAAATTTCATATTTTTGATAAATATTTTATTTTATTAATAATATTTAATAATATTTATATAAGTATGAGTAATTTCGTAACTTTTTACAGCATCTTCTATCAACTTGTGTATACGTTCTCTACGTTCTTTCACAATATCTTTACCTGTTGCACATACAAGAATTTCCACATCATCTGGCGTATACTTTAATTGTTTCATAAAATCATCAGGCCATCTAAACAATTATTAAAATACATTTTTCATTATTCAATATAAATTCTATAACATTAAATTACTAAACTGATGATCATTATAGTTCAAATTAACGATTTCTTGTTTGTATTCTAGCATTCGACCGACAGCACAATCCAGAACTCGCTTTATCAATTCTCTTTTCTGCGTCTGTACCATTTGATCATGGCAAACTATCAGTCTCTTCACTAAATTACGATATCTGAAAACATATTCCATCGATTTCTACCATTTGTAAACAGTTCGTAAGATTATATATTGGATTAATACTTAAGATAAACTGGAAGAAGTAAATCCAATCCATGTTTTATATCAATTTTTGCTTCATCCGCATCTTCTTTCCAAGAGGGTATTTTTTGTAGTTTTTTTGTCCAACTCTATCAACTTTTCTAAATCGTTTCGAGTAATAAGCCATAATTCTGTATAATAACTATGGGACATTGATTTCAATCGGTTTCACCGATAGTTTAGTTTAATTTATACGAATTAGATTATTAGTTATTCATATTAAAAGTGAAATTAAAAATTTTGTAGTGATGAAAAATTGGGTTAGTTAAATGGTTGTAATGGTAATAGTATTGAAATGACTGAAAGGACGAAATTCAGTCGACATTTGTTGCATCATTATTCATTTCTCTGTTTTCGCTCTTTCATTTCACTTTTTTAATATTAGGCATATAAATATATTTATTTATATAAAAGAAATATATTCATATAGTACATCTATTTTTATAAATAATAATATATTTCAGAATGCTGTGGACGTCTCGATGCTTGCTAATTTTATTATTAATAACGATAGCGTCTTGTATAGACGCAATAATGGATGGTTTCCTGGAAGATGGAACAACCACCAACGCAATCTCGACGACCATCTTGGCACCGATGGTCACAACTATATCTAATTTAAATAAAACCGAGAGAACGATGGTTAATTCGACAAATATAAAAAGTATGGACGAAGAAAATATTCAAGATCCATCCCACGCATTCTCACCTTCGCCTGACACAATTTGGGAGTGTCCAAATATTACAAAAGCGGGCGTCGAATGTTCTTGTGACTTTCCACACACGTTAAGATGTACCGGTGATAGAACCGCTTTACAGGTATAACTTTTATATCTACATAATATTTATAGCAATTCAATATACGTATTTATTGAAATTACATTAAAAACTACTAATGAAATCATATTAAAAAATATTAAAAAATACATCATATAATTTATTCATATTTCGAAATAATTATAATATGATAGTCAAAACTATCATAGATTTATTATTTTTCCATATTATCGAGGTCAATGATTTTTTAAATAATTTTTTTAATAATATAAAGCGTGGGTGTATAGACGATCAATGAAATATTATACGAGTTCCATTTATTGTCCAACAAACCATTGTGCGGTCTCTCTGTCTTATACATGCTTTGCTTTGCGTTGAATGTCCCGTTACCAGTTACTTCGACGAATATCCAGCCTTACAATACTTCTTTGGGAATCAAATGATTTTCGTTATGCAATGAAGAATATATAATTAAATTTGTCATGAGATTAACTCGAATGATTTATATTCACATATTATCGTAATAGAATTATATTATAATTCTATATTGATATTGATTGATTTAATTACTAAGTTGGATTGAATATTAAAACATTGAAACATTTTTTTTTTACACAGATTATCAGTAAAAAGTTGAAATTTAGTCGTCCAGGAACGATTTCTTTACTGGATGTAACGATAACAGGAATTTCTCTATTACCATCTCGCTTTCTGGAAGATGTTGCCTTGCATGGACTTGTCGTTTCTAGCGGAGAATTGAAACGTATCCATGAAAATGCTTTTGTTGGACTTATTACACCTCTTCAAGCTCTTGGACTTCCAAACAATCTATTAGATTCTGTACCTACTATAGCTTTATCACATTTGATTGGTTTAGAAAGATTGGATCTCTCTCAGAATAAATTGAAAATGTTGGAAGCTGGCTCTTTTAAGGTAAAATTTAAAAATTCTTAGATATATAATAAATAATCGAAAATAAGATAAATGTGAAAATCAAAAATTTATAATATTATTATATGTTGGACATATAAATATTCAAATGTTTCAGGATTTGTCAAATCTAACATATTTAGATTTGTGCGACAATTTATTATCACAACTATCGCCTCAAGCTTTTACTGCAGTACCTTTATTGCGCTCATTAAGAATGCGTGGAAATCGTTTAAGCGTATCAGCTCTATCAGCGTTGAGAGGTCTTAAAAGTTTAGAAGAACTTGATTTGTCTAACAATCTATTATTGGGTCCAATGGGGCCAAATCTTCTTCCTCAAATGCCACGATTACGTTTCCTTACTGTTTCTGAAAACGAGTTAATAAATGTACAACAAGGAGCTCTTGTAGGTTTAAGAAACTTAACTTATCTCAGCTTAAGTCATAATCAGGTAATTCAATCTACATAAAAATTAAATATATATGAAAATAAGTATGAAGAAAATATTTGATTTGTTTTTTTGTTTTTATATAGATTGATGTGCTGGAAGATCATTCGTTCAAATATTTATCAACTCTTATTAGACTTGATTTAGCAAATAATCGTATTGTTGCGGTATCTAGCGCTTCTCTGGCACATTTGGAAAAATTGACAACACTCGATTTGACGCATAATTTTTTGCGATCTCTGACTGCTGATTTGGTAGTACCATTAAAAAGTCTCCAAGATCTTCGTCTCGATGATAACGATATTACAATGGTAGCCAGCGACGTACCAACATCGAAGTTACGACTCACAAGACTTTCTTTAGCAGATAATCCTTTGAATTGTGATTGTACGCTTTTAGAATTTGCCAATTGGTTAAGCAATTCTAGCTTAAACGAAGAAGATAAGTCTTCAGCAGTCTGTGCGACACCACCTGCTTTAGAAAATGGTATACTAACGCAAGTTTCTCCCGGTAATCTTCTTTGTGGTGAGCCGACACCACCAATCATGACCAGATTACCTTTGGCAGGAGCTCAATTAACATTGAAAGAATTCCACTATGACAAATCAAATGGTATTAATCTCCTGTGGCATGTAGAACCGTGTACAGAACGATATACATGTGATACTTTAATTGTCTATGAAACTATAGGTGATACCGAGAATGAGACAGATTCTAGTTCTCTTCATTGTGATTCACGTATAATGAGAGATCCCTGTTCGCTTCCAGTTACCATACCTGCTTCTTTACATTTACAATTAGGCCATAAATATCGTTACTGTGTAGTACTTTTAGTGCCAAATAGTTACGATGATGTCTCCTTAGGTTTGGGTTGTAGCGATGTGATAACTTTAGAAGAATCTAAACGAGAATTACAACAAGATCAAGAAATTGGGAGAAATTTAGAGACTGTCTCTTCTTTAGATACTAAAATAACTGGAGTACATGTGAATGTCTCTGATCAAGGTTTTTTGCACGTCGATGTTAGTTTATCAATCTCGAAAAAATCAAATTTACCTGAATGCGAACTGTCTGTGGTTGTTTTTGATGCTGAATCTGCAGTGCATAAACAAAAGTTGAATTGTAGTTTAACGTTTGTGACATTAGCTGTACTATTGCCCGGCCGTTATAAAGTTTGTGCAAGTCTTGACGATGTTAATGAAGAAGACGTTATCACAAATTTTATAGATAATCGAGATAGATTACGTTGCGTTGAAGTACAAAAATTCAAACAAAATACAGAATTAATTGTTTTAATGATAATCGGAGCTAGCTGCACTCTTTTAATTATAATTGCGATAATTGGTAGAAGCGTTCTGAAAAGGCTGAGACATCCTAGGATACAAACACAATGTTTCCTACCAGCACAGGAATTTGAAATAACACATAAAGCACATTATATTAAATTATTAGCTACAACAAAAGTTTAAATCATTTTCAAGTACAATTCCATATTTTTGATTCTTGTAAATAATTACAGCTTATTATTGTTGAATATTTAAAAATGTGGGAATCGAATAATTTATTCGGTTAAGAGAATGTTGTATTTGATCTTATTTTATAAGATTATTTTTATGAGCTACTTTCTACTAGTCATAAAATTGATAATTCTAAATAGAATAATAAATACTAGAACATAAAGAAGAATTTTAAAAATAAATAATAATATAATTAAATCGAAAAAAAATATGAATTTTAACAATCTACTAATATTTTAAGCATCCAGTTTTTACACTGCCAATAATAATTTATTTCAATTAACAATATGAATTTAATATTTTATATAAAAAATTATAATAATGTATATTATAATAACGTTAATTCATACGATTTTAAAATGTATATGTATGTTTTTCATTTAATATTTAAATATATGAAAAAAAAATGTAAATATCTTTTATAAGTTTCAAGAAATAAATTCTTAAATTATAAAATTTTTATATTATACAGCATATTTTTTAAATGATTTTTATTGTAATATAAATATTTAGGATATGTAATATTGTATAAATAATTTTTTGAAATTATAATATGCAAAATTAATTTACGAATTAAATGTAAAATATTACCAGATGCGAAAAATAAAAAAATAGAAAAATCATAATTTTTCAATTTTTAGATTAAATTTTTTTAATACTTGATAAACATAGAAATACGAAAAAATATTTACAACATATATTTTTAACACTTATATAAATATATTAAACTCATATTATATAGTATATCATACTATGTAGATAGAAAATTAAAATAATAAAGAGAAAATTGTTACGAAAATGTTGTTAAAAACGATAATGTAGATATACGGATACTGTGACACCATCTAACAGCGAACAGATGGAACTAATCATCATATAATAAAATAAAAAATTATGAATATTTGAATTTCTAGACAAAATTTTTTTAATTTTTAATCAAATTAAAACTTAAATTAAAATAACTTTTTATTAAATTCTCAGAAATATTCTGAGATAAATCACAATATTTCTCGTTTGAGAATTATAAGTATTTTCCGAAAATTATATAATACATCTTTTTAATTATCAAACAAAAAAAGTATTTAAAAGAATATTTAAATATTATTAATTGCTTAAGAATCTATGTTTTAATTTGAGTTTTAATTCCAAAATTAAAAAATTTTATTTAGAAAATTATATTTTTCTAATATTATTTCTTCTAATATTATTTTTATATAACAATTTTATCTTCATGGCCATTATGATCCATTTTGAAAATTTTAGTCACTTCACATCACTCGTAGTATCACAAAGTAATTTATATAAGTACTTACATACGTGATATTCTTAATCAAACTTCATTTCTTTCTTTCTTTTATAATCTTGTGATGGTATATATGTTTTCATTTTAGTTATATAATAATAATATTCGTATATTATTTTTTTGATAAAATTTTATCATTATTTGAGCAGAAAGTATTACATATATCTATTTATATATATTATTTGCAGCCATTAAATTATTAAAATAACAAATATGGATAAAAACGAAAAGATTCAGTTATTACGAGATTCAATTGCTACTTTTCCCGATTTTCCTAAACCCGGTATTATATATCGGTAAAAAATAAAATTTATTTTATTTAATAATATTATTTAATAATTTATATATATTGATTATCTTTATATCTTATAATTAATATTATATAATAATATATAATTATAATTTAAAAAGTTATACATTCATGTTTATAGAATATAATTTAAAATTTTATTTTTAGTGATATATTTGGTATTTTCCGCAATATTGCAGCAGTGAGAGCAATGAAAGATTTAATAGTGGAACATATTTTATTTTTTGAAGTAGATTTCATAGTTGGTTTAGATTCAAGAGGATTTCTTTTTGGACCTATAATATGCATGGAATTAGGAAAACCATTTGTGCCAATTAGAAAAAAAGGAAAACTTCCAGGAAAGGTTTTTAATCTTACCTTTAATATGGAATATGGAGAGGTCAGTAAATAAAATAAAACTCTTTGATTATTAGTTATTTTAATGTAATTTTAAATTTTTAATTTTTCAACATTATATATTTTGTTCTTTTTATTTGATATAGGATACTTTTGAAATACAAACAGAGCAAATAAAACAAGGAAGCAGAGTGCTTATTGTAGATGATTTACTAGCAACAGGAGGTAAGATAATAATATAGAAAAATAAATTTTATAATATTTCTAAAAAAAATTAGAAAAATAAAATTAAATAGGTACCATGGGAGCTGCAGTAGAATTAGTGAAAGCAGTTGGAGGTGAAGTAATTGAATGTTTAATAATAATTGAATTAATTGGATTAAAGGGAAGAGAAAAACTTAACGTACCTGTTCACTCATTTGTTCAATATGATGTTTAATTCTAAAATAATGTGTATAAAAAATAGAATTTTATGTTCAAAAATAATATACAATATTATTATTCTATCATCAATATTATTCTATAAACAAAGCATTTAAAGAAATATTTTTGTAATATGCAAAAATCTGCGTATATGACAATTTTTTATTATAATTCCATATAAAGATAATATATTTTTATACAAAGATATTTTATAATATTCATAATATTGTAAATATTATACATAAATTTTATAATTAATAAGTTCTTAAATGATATATGATGTTTTATTATATTCCAATCTTTCACATATTTAAAAAAATATTAATTTTCTATTATAATAATATATAAAATATATTAAGTATTAATTACTCTTGATTTTTGAGATTTTAATGAATCTAAAAAACTTTGTACTTCATATTCCAAGTTGTCCACATCTTGTTGTAATTGTTGATAATATTTTGTTTTATCATTTTTTAATCTATCGTATCTTCATTACTTGAAGTTTCTAAATCTAAATGTGGAATATTATGAAATTGATCACAAATACATTTATGTTTAGCTTTGTATGTATCTTCTTCTGTTGCTTTCAATTCCCAATCCACATTAAATGCATATTCTTTGAAACATTTCTGTGCTTCTAAAAAATAAATAAATTTGAATTTTATATTGTTAAAATTCTTTAATAATCTATAGTCTTACCAGACAATCTTATTTGATGAATTTCATCTATAAAAGTTTTTGCCTCATATTTTAATCTATTTTCTTCTGCAATTTTTGTAGTTATATGATTATGTTCATGCATAATTTTTTCTTTTTGTTTTAATTTTTCTAATTCGATAATAGAAATTTCATCTGTTAAAAATTTTGGAAAATCATGTATCATAAATGAAGGATATGGTCCTTTAAAAGGCAATGTAATTATTTCATTTCTAAAAAAAATGATGTGGAGTATTTATTCAATATATAAGAAAACAATTCAAAATATCGTTTTTTTATTAGAGAATATTATTATACCTAAGATAATAACTAGGATGTATTCTTAATGGTATACTATTATCAAGCTTCTGAGCAACTTTTAGTAATTCTTGTGCTCCAATATGACCTTGTTTAATAAAATATTTTTTAATATTTTCTTGCGTTTGCAATGAAGACATGATAATTTCACGAGAACATATACTGTATGCAATAACACTCATTAATAAAAGTGAAGGTTTTTTAAAAGATATTAAATGATCCCATAAAATTAACCATTCAGGACCAGACAAGACTTCACTCATTGCAGTTTTTAAAAGTGGCCATGCATATTCACTGGATGTTATTTTTTGTTCATAAAAAACATTTAACAAAGATGGATCTGCTTGTAAAAGAATATTTTCTATTATACCTAATACATTTAATGGTGGTAAAGGATGATATTCAAACCATTTTTGACAATAGTTTAATAAAATACTCAGAATAAGTTCAAATCCACATAGTAGATCTTTCTATAATAAAAATAAATCAATTAATTTTTTGATCTTCTATCTGTTTAATTGTAATATTTATTTTATTTATTTATTTTATTACCTGAAAAATCATAAGAAATGGAAAAACTAAGTTTGGTAAAAATGAACATTGTATTAATAAAGGACACCATTGTATTAAACAATTAACTGTTGTCATTAATAATATTTTTTTACTTCTATTTGCTAATGGATGATTTTTTAAAATATTTAAAGTAAAACTTATATTGGCAGCTTTATTAGCCAGAGCATTATATGCACTTTTATTGGCTGGCAAATTTAAAATAGTTGACCATATTAATACACGATATTTTTCAGGATATTCTCCAAATTCTTTTAAAATAAGTATTAATCTTTCTAAACGTAATTCACGCTTAATATTTTGTCTAACACATTGTAAATGATCACGTATTTCATGTGCAACTGGTCTACATGGTTCTATTTTTTGTAAGGATTCACATTTGTCTAAAAATAATTTTTCAGTAATTATGAATTTCAAATGACCTTCTTTTTCTATATATGTTATGTATCTGCCAGTAGGAGAAATTGTAATTTTCTTTATTGGCTTAAGAGGTTGTAAAATATTAATGAAGCATGATTTGTTCAGATTAAAAAAATATAGATTATAAGTTGAAGAAATACAAGCTATTATATTATTTGCTCCACCATCCAAAGGTGATGGTACGAGAGATAAATGTTTTACTCCAATAAAATTATCTGGTAAACTTAAAGTTTTCATTAAATTCCAATTATATGTATTCAAAATGACAATTTTATTCTGAGTATTAACTATAATCATTGCTCTTCCATTTTGTGTAAAAACAAAATCTTTAATATTTCGTATACCAAATATTTTTGTATCAATTTTAACACTATTTCCAAATTGATTGTGATTCCATATTTGAAAATTATCATTATAATACAGTACAGCAATGTGTCCTAAATTTGAGAAACTTGCTTTTTTTATTATACAATTTTTTGTGTTAATTTTTAATTGTTGAGTTTTACTACAAGAATGTAAACACCATATTATAACTTCTTTACATGAAGAAGTCAAACAATATTTCTTATAAAAAGAAATTTGTAATGGTGGTATTTTATGAGCAATTAATAGGCAAAATTGAGAAACATCTATATTTACTCTTAATATTTTTATATCACTTGTAGTGAGACCAACTAATATTTCACATTTATTTATAGGATTACATGCTATAAATGTTGCTCTTCCAATATTACCTAATTTTTTATAAGAAGGACAATTATTTGTTAAATCGATGTAATATAAATATCCTGATGTATCAATTGCAACGAAATATTCTTCATTCCAATCAAATGCTATATGTGCAAAATTAACTCTTGAAAAGCATTGCGATTTTTTAGTTATTTCTGGTTCAAGTTCAAAATTATCATTATCAATTTTTCTTAAATTCTTCCATTTTCTTTTGTACATTCTACTAATTTTTAAAAATAAGTTTTATTATATCTACGATTTTTTTAGGTTATGTTTACATTGAGAAATGTCAAATATGACATTATTTACATTATCTAGATTTGTTTGAAATCTTCTAAAGTAAAAAAAAATGATAGTCAAATTTTTTTATTATTACGTAATTATATTAAATTATTTTAAAATTATGCACATATATTGAATCATTAATATAAATATATATATAATATATAAATAAATATATATATATAATATAGATTAACAAATAATTAAATAATAATTATGATTGCAAATATTTTTTATAAAAAAGAAAGTTATTCGATATTTCTAAAATGTGTAGATATGATATATTATATATTTATGAATTTTCTATTTTGTCGCTTTGAATAAGATACTTTTTTGTTACTTATTACGTCATTAACTAGAGAAATAGAATCTAGACATTTGGATTCTGTGGTTCTTCGGCGAAATGATGGCAGTTGATTTCGTATCAATTAGAAAGTTTTAGAAATTAGTTTTTCTCCAGCGAGAAATAAAAATATTTTAAGTGATTGGTAACGTGATATGTCAGATAATTACAAAATGGTAAGATATATTTTTTATTTATAATCTCATAATTGTTTCTTGATATGAACTGATTGTTTTTTAGGTTATATACAACTTGTATTAAAATTTTTTAAAAATAAATGATCAATCATTTTTTGAATTTTAGTTAAAAAAAATAATTATTTTTTATACATCTTTGTTGCAATTTTTTTTACTAATAAATAATAAATTATTTTTAAATATTTAATCTATATAATTTAATAAAAAAAAATTGATTTGTAAATTTTTTTAAATTTTTCATTATTTAAAAGAGAAAGGAAGTTTTTTGGATTTATTTTTATTTAGGAATTAAATTATTCAATCTGATTTTTTTTTCTTTGTAGTCTGTTGCTGAGTTCTTAAAGGGTCTGCCTTCTCATAATGAAAATAACTTCGCTAACTTTCATACAGATAGTGGAAATAGAACTTGTGTAAAAAAACCTTCAGTTTATCTTCCTACAAAAGATCATCCTTCAGAACAAAGTAAGAATTTTAGGATATATATTTATAATATTTGTAGAAGAATAAATATAATTATAATTATTATTTTCAGTTATAGTTACAGAGAAAACAACCATACTACTAAGGTATCTTCATCAACACTGGGATAAAAATGTATAAAATTATATACATATTTTGAAATAATATTTTCTATTACATATTTTAAATTTTAAATTTATTTATCAATTATATTTTTTAGCATGCTGATAGAAAACGTGATTTTTTGTCTGCTAATGGTGATTCTGAAGATGATGCTGCTACAGTTCATAGCAAAAGGCCACGTCTTGATTTAAACAATACTATATAAACTGCAACTCAGTTATAATTTCATTATTATTCACCTACCTACATTTCCATTATTTGCTAAACTAATTTTCATTTTCTATTAAACTATGATTCTTAAATATTATAAACATATCTCTATAATTGAGAAAAATTATTTCAAAACGTTGCTTTTTAGATGTTAAATATACACAAATTGAATTAAATATTATGTGAATATTATAAATGTAGGAAATAACGTTTTCAAATAATGTTTCTTTGGATATGTGAAATCATTGTAATAAAAACAAGTATTACATTAATTTCATGTTCGTCGCTTTATACTATATTGTATATTTGACATTTGATTCGAAATTTGTATTTAGCATAAATAATAATTGCTCTATACTGCACAATATGTATAGGTGAACGTGTTCATTGTTATTGACAGCAAAACATGACTAATGTAACATATGTGCGTTACGATTTAAGAAAGAATTATTAACATTTCATTAATTTAAGATATAATAGAGCATTTATTGAAATAATTTTGTAAATTTGTTTTACAATGCACATTTCAAATCTGTATTACATATTTATGTAGTAATAAGTTTAATGTACGTCTAATTTACAAAAAATATATTCGATATATTATTCTTAAAATGTTAGGTTATATTGATTTTTTTTTATTATAGTATCATTATAAGATAAACAAAAAATTTAAGATGAAAATCTTAACAGTTATGTATATATTCATATTCATGAACATAAGTATTAATCTAATTTACGAAAATAAGTATCATTACTGATCAAAAATATCTTATAAATTATATGAGAAAAGAAAAATACTTTGATCAATTTTCTTTTTCTAATAAATAAAAAATAATAATATTATACGTACCATTTTTACACTGTATAAAATATAATAAAATTTAAAAAATTGATTTTAAAGTAAATAGAATTTTTACTTTCAAAAATTTTTTTGAAATTCTTAAAATAAAATTCTACCATTAGTTTTGTTTTTATTATTCCATTCTTTTTCTAGTTTTGTCTGATAAAATTTAAACTATGTAATAATTTAATAATCAAAAATATTTTTTCATGAATTATTATTAATAAATTAAATAAGAATGTAAAATAAAAATATTTTTTATTTTTACATAAAAATATAAAAAAATTAAAAGCATAATTTTTATTAAAATTGCTAAATATGTTAATAGAAATATCGAACTTCAAAGGAGGTATCTTCCACCTACTGTATGACGTCAAGATAAGAATTGGTTACAAGAGAAAGATAGAAAAAGAGTCTTTCGATATATGAAAACATAACAACTCAGTATGCAACATAACTTTAGTTATGTATTCCTAATACTTTTTAATAAATTAAATCGACATTTTAATGAACAAAATTTTTTTTTAAAAGAAAATTGTACTTTTAGAATTGCATTGCAATATAAATTTTAAACAACTTTCTATATATATTTAAAAATAAATCTCTTGATGAATTATTAATAATTATTAATTATTATAAAGTACACATGCATTAGAAATTATATTTGAAATATATTTTTTTTAAATTTGATATATATAACAATTTTTATATTATTTAAAATTATTTATTATATTTTTTCCATTGATCTATTTTATGTTTTTAGAACAAATAATTGTTTATTTTTTTGAGAGATTTAATAATTTTTTAATAGTTCATGAATTTTGTTGTCAATTTAATTTAAACAGATAAAAACGATAAAGTTTAGAAACAAAATTAATGGAAGTTATAACTATAATTACCTATATTTTTTATCTATGATATTATAAATGGTGAAATTGAGATATTAAATATAATATCCTGAATTGAAAGAAACAAAAGAAATTGATTATTCCTTTTGTTTCTAATTCAACTAATTTCAATCATACATTCACACATATATATATATTTTCAAAAATATATATTCCATAAATAATATTAATAAATTTGTCTTTTTTGTATAATGAAAGTGTGTATATAGTTTTGAATTTAGTTTATATTTTATGATTATTAATTTTATGATGAGCTTTGATGGATATTTATAATTTTAGTTATTTAAAATAATTAAACATTTTTATAATTAAAATTAATAATTATTTAGTGAATACATATTATCAATTATTACATCGATTACTACATACAATTGTAATTAATCTGTGCATTTTTTATTTTCATCTTCAATAACATACATTTGCAAATTTAGACAATCTGTTTTTATAGTTTTCAATGGAAGTAAATTTTTGTTAGTCATTTCAAAAACATTTTCATCGATAATCCATGGAAAATCTTCACAATGAGGATTTTCACTTAAAGTAATATGTGCAGTTTCATGTGTTTGAATTTCAATAGAGAAGGATGAATCTTCTGGCAATGGTTTCAAATATGCTTCACACATTGATAATTTCAAACAAATTGTTCTTAATGATTCTTCTGTTTTTAAATAATATGGATCTTTTCTAAAATAAATTTTAAATTAGCTAATAATATATTATTATTATTATTAAATTCTTTTAAAGATACATACTCTGTGCTATTTGCTTGTAATTTAATAAAATCAAAAACAAATTTCTCAATTGGCTCTCTTTTTTTATTATAAAAAACTAGATTCACAGCTTTAACATTATTTTCATTCTCTTTCACTAATTCTCTAATTGCATTTAATACATTTTTTATGTATTCATTAAGCTCAGGATGTTCAGAAATATATACAACTACACTATATATTTTTTTTTTACAAATATTTCTTTGGGATATAAATTTCTAAAAAATAAGATATGATTGAATGCTACTTCTAAAAATTCCAGTAAAATATCAGTAGCCACTGTAAATAAAATATAAATATTTTTAAATTATGTATTAAATTATCTATTTTATATTTATTATTTTATATATTTTATATTATTAATAAATAGATAAAAATATAGAACAATATTTACCTAATTTATCTTCAGACATTTTTTAGAATGTTTTTAAAATGATAAAAATATAATAAAAAATAATTAGAACAAAAAAATATTTAAGCTCATAAATTTTAATATTAGCTATTTAGTTTTTTTATTAAAAATTTTTTATATATATTATTTAATTAATGTAGGTAAAATAACAAATGATATTTATGAAATTTCTATTATGCGTATATAGATATATTTATTATTTATATTTGAAAAAGATTAATGTTTTAATAAATAATGTAATACATTATTTTTTAAAAATATGTATTAACTTAGATGTAATGAATTACGCAGCGATTGATTTGACGCGCGCCTAGGTCGAAACCGATTGCATATGGCGGTTAGTATATACGACAAACAGTTATAGTGTTTTGATGATACTTTTTTATCTGTTCACGGAAGTTATCAATAGATGCTTGCGTTCAATAAGCTCGCGAACGTAATAAAGTTCTTTTACATTCAGATAATGTTGTAAAAGAAAATCAGTACTTTACAATATTCACAGCGGCATCTTTCATAACCTCAACAATCAGGAACATACAGTACTTCTATGTAAGTATACATTATATATTTTCGATATATAAAACTTTACGTATCACATATTAAGTTTCATAATTTAATATTTAATTATGTTTATATCACTAAATTTTCAATAATATTTTTTTTAATAAATTGATTATTTTAAATGGCACTTTCATTTCATTTTTATTCTGTGATTGTATTGTGATTTTCTTGTGGCGCGAAATGAGACATATATTTGAAATGTATATATTACTCTTAATATAATATTGTTCAGTATATTAGTAAAGAACAGTATTTTTTTTTTAAATATTAATTTTAATATAAAATCAATATAGAATTATTTAATTTTAATTACAGAAATGTATTATTATTTGTTATAATGTTGTTATAGGTAAAAATGCCACCAACAAAAAAGACTGATTTAGACAAATTAGCATGGGCTTGGGTGGAAGGTGTGGTTTTAGACCAAATAAAAAGGATACATTTGGAAACTGCTTATAGAATAGGTTTAAAAGCATGTA